GGGTCTGGTCATCATCATCTCCAAGAGCTGCTCCACCATCATCAACTCCATCAACCTCAGCAGCTCCACTCCCCCAAACTTAGGAGCCTGGTCCCCAGGCCAACCAGTATACGCCTGAAAGTCCTGGTAACCAGAAGTGATTGCAGAGTGTACTCATGAAAGAACATGGTGAGCACAAAAATTATACACAGTGATGACCAAGCAAATATAGCAAAAATGGAGAATATCCTTAGACCAAAATTAAGCACAACATGCATGCACACGGAAATGAACTATAACAATGCAACATAAAGCACACAAACATACAACATACAACAGAACATAAAGAAACATGATTGAAAACAGATAAATATGGGCTGTCAGGAATGTGGTGCGCCGGGCTTAACACAGATGCGCCGGGCTTAATATCAGTAAAAATCAACGAGGTTTCAAAATCTGATATCGCGCCGGGCGTGCGTTAAACGCGCCCGGCGTGGTGGGTTCCAGAGACCACAATTCGAGTCTTGCGCTGGGCGCGAGGTGAAGCGCGCCGGGCGCATAACCCTGATATGGTCAGTTTTGCCTAAATTTACTTTGAGATAAGGCCTGATTTCCACCTAGATACAGAGTTACCTCTTCCTCACACTCCCAACAAGATGTACCCTATATTTACCCACTCAAGCATGATTCTAACAATCAACATCTAACACAAAATAATACATACCACAAACCAACATATAACACAAACAACGTGTACACAAAACAATCATGCATAACAAACATTAACACTAAAATCTACAACAGAATGAAAGGACAAACACATAAACAAAGTCAGATCTCTGGGTTGCCTCCCAGGAAGCGCTTGTTTACTGTCCCGAGCCTGACGGTGACCAACTTGAAGTGCTCTACTCTCCTTCTCCTCCTATTGCTCTTGTTCCCCTTTGCCCTGTGTTCAACCTCATGATTGCTCAACAACGGCTCAGAAGGATTGGTCATTCTAATTTGAACAGTACCTTGCATACAAGAGAAAGCTGAAGACTAGAGTACACAAGTTAGCTTCATCAATTCATTGCTAACAAAAAATAACAAAAACAATAAAGGATTAAATCACAAATAGCTATAAATACTAAATCGCCATTCTAATCCCCGGCAACGGCGCCAAAAACTTGTTGAGATTTCCGTTGAAACACTTTTGTTAATATTTGTAAATTCGTTTAATTCTATCAACGGTCTCAAACACGGCAAGTATACCGGCCGTTCAAGTAGTAAAAATATCGTATCCACAGGGATTAGAAGGTAATATAAGCATTTATTGACTATTCGTGACTAAAGAATAATTCCAATTTCTAAGTTTGTGCAGTGAATTCAAAGTTGTGACTATTGGAATGAAAGCTGTAAATAAATATTGTTTTGTGAGTGGAAAAGGTAAGGAATGGTATTGTGGTATTGTGAGGTTGTGGGGGTCAGATTTCACCAAACGTAACACTAATGTATCCTTAATCTCTTGTTGAATTCATTGCTTAGTCAACCCATAAGTTTACTCAAACCTAATCCCTTAGAGAAAGAGCCTAGGTGCGGATATTGAATATCAATCCCTTGAGTACCCAATATCTACACCCGCATTACGGGCTAGGGTTTAAGACTACTAATGGGTCAAGCTCTATCCCTAGATACAATCACCACTAGGCATATGTTTCAGAACTAGTTTCAAAGGTTATTTTCCAATACCCATGGAACCTTAAATCATGCAAAGGGTGATCAATCCAAAGCAAGCATTAAGAATAGAAACAAACACAACAAAGAATAAAACAACATGTATATATATCATTAAAACCGTAAAGATTACAATAGAGTACGTTGGTTACATCTAACCCCACAAAATGGGTGAAACCACTCAACAAAGAGGGCAAATACAAAATAGAGATGGAAGAGGAAGTGAAGAACCGAAGGAAAGATCCGCACACGGACGATCCCAAGCCCTGGGAATCCCTTCCGCAGCTCCTGGAGGCGCCCAATGTGAGAATGGGGGGAAAGATCCCCGAAAATGGCTTCAAATACGAGCCTGGGAGATCAGATTAGGGTTCCGCGCCCGGCGCACAATTCTTCGCGCCCGGCGCAAGTTCTTCCAGAGAAGTCAAGCACTCTCTGTCTCAACACAAGCCCGGCGCAATTCCTTTTGCGCCCGGCTTAATTCCTTTTGCGCCCGGCGCAATATAACTGGCAGAGATGAAATACTCTGTTTTTGTCACGCCCAGCGCGGGTTATATTGAGCCCGGCGCAGAACCTCTTCTCTGCTCCTTAGCTTCTTAGGTTTCCAATCCTAAGAGTCTTCAATCCTCAAGTCACTAGCTCAATACCTGCACAAAAAATGAGGTGTATTAAGGTATTGTTAGCTGAATTTGGGTTAGTTATATCTGCACACAAAATGAACCAAAAAGAGAACAATTATATTGCAATGGTTCAAAGGATGAGTGAAATTTGTTCAATAAGTCTCATCCAAAAAGAGGTAAAATTGAGACTTAACAGTATCCCATAATACTTTTTGAAATTTGAAGTTAAAACCATCTGGTCCAAGACTCTTTAAGCTACCATAATCACATACTGCTTATTTAATCTCCTTTTCCTCCATGTTGGAAATGAAAAAGTTATTTTGTCAATCAAAAATATGCTTAAATTACACATCGTCCAACTTAGGTCTTTTCCCGACTTATTATTGAAATTTATTCTGGAAGTACATTTTTGTATGGTTATTTACCTCCTTAGGCTCCTCCACCCAAGACCCATCAATAAATAACCCCCTGAGCGCATTTTTCTTCCTTCTCTAATTTAGCATAAGATGAAAGAATTTTGTATTTAGATCCTCTTCCTTTAGCCACCATAACCTAGATTTTTGGGATATGATTGATCCGTTACGAATAACCACCTACCAAAATTCTTGTTGCAAGCTTCTTTTTGTTTGAATTTCTACCTCGGTTAACTTTGTGATTTCCTCTCTCTTATCAAGTTCATTCATCCTCTACAATTTTAGTATGATTTGAACTCTGATTTTCAAACTTGACTGTATTCTACCCCCTTAACTTACACTTAAATTGTTTTAACTTTTCCTTAAGAACATATGCTCCCCAACCTTGGACATTCAAGTCCTTCTAGGTTTGCTCCACAAATACCACAACATCCTTATCATTGAACCAATGATTTAAGGATCTAGATGGTTTCGGACCCAACTATGTGGTAGTTGTATTTGATGCACCATAACTACTACCACCTTCCCCAACCCTTCCCCTTACATTTCTAATTGTTATTAAAGTTGAAGACATCCAAAAAGTGTAAATTGATACCTCTTAAAGTTGAATCTTATGTTTGTTTAATTATTTTGTATATGTAAATCTCGAGATATACTTTAGTTATCAATCTAATATTTATGAAAGCAATCTTTGGGAATTAAATGCATTATGTCGGTAAAACACCGAGCATTTCCTATCGAATTTAAGCAAACACCTCGAACTGAATTACACAAGAAAAATGATAAAACCTCTGAATGTAAGTTCCGAAAATCATTTTGAAGATTGAAATATTAAATTAAATAATTATTTTATAATAAATTTATTAAAAAATATTAATAATTTAATGTTCGGAGATGATTCGAACTCCGTTTTCGGAAGATGTAACATTGTTCATTACTGTAAAGATAAGCAAAGGAACGAAATAGATGCTGAAAGATATATTAAATTATTATCATCAGCATGAATTACAGAGAATGATTTAAAGACCTTATATAAGCTACACGTAACAGAATAATCTTATCATAAATAATGACAGCTAAGATAACTAATCATAGCTAAACAAATGATTTTATCATAACAGAATTAGTTTTAATCTAACTAACTTTATTATCCTTAACAATTACACAATATCATAATCATTAGTAAACTATGTAATTCCAATTTGAAGTTTATCGAGTAAGAAGGCTGTTTCATTAGTAAACTATGTAATTCCAATTTGAAGTTTATCGAGTAAGAAGGCTGTTTATAGTAATTTTTGGGAGGATACGCTAATCCCCAAGTCTGAAGTACAAGGTGTGAAGATATTGTAAGACGTCAATCTAAGAATTCTTTCTTGAAGTATATTCGATATATTAATTTTTGAGAGGGTACACAATGCACTAGTCCCTAAGCATCAACCACAAGGTGTGAAGAAACTATAAGACATCAATCTCAAAATTCTTTAAGGAAAGTATGTTTGGTATGTTTTTGGGAGTGCACAGATGTAAATATGTTTTACACCATTTTCTAATTACAAATAGTCATTTATAATGAATTTATTTGTTTTCATAATAAATATTTTAAAAATCATTTCAAGAGTGGACTTTGATTGGTTGTAAAACTTTTTATACTCTGTACATAATTATTAGTTAAATTCTAATTAAATATACAGGTTCAACTCTCAACATTTGATAGATTTATTCTTTATTTTTTCAAATATTTCCACGGCTGTTCAAATTATAATAATAAAAAAAGTCAATGGAGTTTGTTTTGGGATTTGTTTGAATTAGGAAAAAGTAATAAGCTTCTCTTTTCAATTTTATTTATATCCCCACTTTTAATGTGTTTTCTTTTTTTAAAGAGAAAAAGAGAAAGTAACAACAATCTTATTTTTGATTTGGAACGCCGTTAACATTCAAGCAATTCATTGAGAAGCACGGGCGAGATAAACATTACGGTTGATAACAAATAAATTTAACATTGACAAAACATCATTACAACAACAACTACCTTTATTGAAAAATAAATAAAACATAAAAACAAGCTTTGGTCGCCCCTTTTACAAAAGTAACAGATAAGTTTCACAATATTGTTGAAACAAAAAGTTACATGAGAAAGAAGGATCGATCATATTATTCTGCAAATAATTAATGTGACATGAAAGGAATAGCACTATAAATCTATAATAGATATTTATGAAGAGGAGCAGTTTTGTCATGTCTGAGTAACATATTGTACCTAGCTAGCTAGGTAGACCAATCACTTGGAGGAAAAAAATCCTTCAAATGTAGGCCATTCAATATCACTCCCTTCCACAAAGTTTGGATAATTGGATGATCTGCCCACAGCAACAGCATCATTGTTGGCTCCAAAGTTGCTTTGATGACCCCATAACCCTATATTGTTAATGGACCCTCCTTGATTTTCATCATGCTGCCCTGTTCCTGAGAAAGTTCCACTAATGTTGCCTTGGATCATATCACTTTTACCAATTGTGCCTCCAAAATTTCCATAAGATGGCCATAAGTCACTGCCTCCAATTTCACCAAAATAGCTTCCATACAAAAACCCTGAATCACTATTACCATTGAGACCTGTAAAATTGCCTTGAGGCAACACCCCAGATGAACCACTTTCATCAATGAGGCCTCCAAAATTGCCTGGAGGCAACACCATGTCAACATCACCATGATTGAAGCCTTCAAAATTGACTTGATCTTGATGCAGCACCATATCAACATCACCAAGATGTGTATGTGGTGGAGGTGGCAGCCCCATGTTGTTGTTGCTCCCTATATTGTTATCAACACCATTATTCATCGTAGCATCTTCTTTCTTTAAATCTAAGGTTGATTGTTCGAAAACTGGTTCATCTGTGTTGGGCTGTGAACCAATGTCATTCTTTAGAGGACAAGAAACTGGCGGTGTTGGAGGATTAGGAGACAACTCATGATGTTTAGTATGGCCAGTTTTCTCTCTAACACCCTTTAGTTTCCCCTCCACATAACAAAGTAAACGAGATATATCACTAGCGTCAAAATCAGACAAGGACTTGCCATCATGGTGGATTTTGTGCATGAAAATTGACATGTCTTTCCCATCATTCTTCTCCTTGAGCATGGCAAGTTGATTTTCAATCTTCTTATTCTTCTGCTCAACATAAATCTGTGGTGTAACGTTTTTTCTCCACCGATCCGTCAATGGAGCATTCTCAAACTTGTCGAGAAGCTCTCTAGCCTTGTCATGAGATGGCCACACAGTAGGGACATCATCACCAGGACCATCGATGATTGCGCATGAATCTACAGCACAAAGAGTGGTAAGGTCCTCCATCTTCTTCAACAAACTTGCCCTTCTTTTGTTGTAGCAAGTTTTTCTTGTCACAAAATCCTCAATCAGATTTTGTGCCGCTTTCTTTCTCCTAGGCATGGCTATGAATTTGATATGCTTCTCTTGCAATAAACTTTGAGATAACAACCGTATAAATAAGAATGAAAGGAGTATGGAGATCATGATGAGTTAGTTTTCTCCAACATCGTTAAAAAAAAATAATTAAGTGGTTATAGAACATATAGTGTCTAATTAATCTCTACATTATTTGTAAATAGATATTATTAATTTCTTTTTCATAGATTGATAAGTTTAAATACATGTCATATGATAATTGATCGGAATCACAAATAATTGATAGTCTTGAATCACTTAATAATTTTTTTATGTTACACCATTTTTCTTAATGATATACAAACTTATTACACATTTCTTTATAATTATTAATTAACACGAGTATATCAGTGATACAATGTTAGTGTGTAAGAAGTTTTTATACATTTCAATCAATCATAAATCACATTTTTTATGAGTTTTAATGTAATTATTATAAAAATTAACAAGTTTATCATATAGATTATGATTAAATGACAATATAAAATTATTTTTCACCTTCAATGTATCATTGTTGAACTCTTAATATATATACAATACACACATTAATATTTTATTTCTCTTAATTTATAATTTTAATTAATGTTTTGAATTGTGTTAAATTCAATTGTGCATTTGAAAAATCTTTATTTTAATAATTTTTATACAATATATTTTAAAGTAATAAAATTAGTAAAATATAATTAAACACGAGTATTATTCTAAAAAAAAGCAAATATTAAGGAAGTATTTTATTAATTTTATTGATATAGTATTTATATAAATATATTGAATTTTTTTTATTAAGTATTAATTACTATATTTATAGAATTTAATAAATATAATACTAATATATGTACATTAAACGTATAATTTTTTAAGTAGATCTATATATATATACATATTAAAATTGATTATTAAATAATTGTAATTATTAAATTTTTTAATACAAACTATATATATATATATATATATATTAAATTTATTTTCTTATTATTTTTAAATGATTATTTTATAAAATACTTTAAAATAGAAAATTTTCAATATATTTCTATTGTTAATTATTATTTTAAGATTTTTTTTAAATTTAACCATAAATTATAAAAAAAGTATTTATTGAGTGATTGAAGGATAACATGGTAAATTAAAATTATTATAGTATTAATTTTAATCAAAAGCATATATTAAAATCTTTTAAAGAATATTATTTAAATGAGTCAATATATAAATAAATAAATAAATAAATATATATATATATATATATATATATATGAGGAAGGATCT